TTTGACTCATATACCATAAATGAGACAGATGCTGGTACGGAGCGGAGTGAAGTGAAAGGATCTGTCTAATCGGGGGAGTTTCATTATGTTGGTTGGGGGTGCGGGGGCAACACCCCGTGATTTGGTACAGATGTAATTTAAATAATTACATATTGTACTATAAGGTTATATTTATGTCATATTTGTAACTCTAGGTGAGGGAGATTCTGAATCTTGTATTTTGTACTCTTTTCTGAATATTGGCTCTGCTCCTGAGAATGTAGGCATCTTTGCCGAACCTCATAAATCTCTGCGTGTTCTTCTAAATTTGTGTCGATTCCCGTTTTTCTTCGCCCTAATTTCTCAACAGTCAATGCAAAAGAATTGTTTGGCATGTATGTAAATTTCCCATTAAAAATGATTTAGTTAAATTTTATTTTATAATTAGCATTTAACCCTTCTTCCTCTCCAAAAGGAACCCCGGAAGTCGGGCCGGCAGCTGCGAGCAAAAGCAACTGGACGGGATCGCAAGAGTTTAACTATTATAACCCAACATCAAAGTCAAAAACTAGAAACTTGAAGCAGCCTAGCATGATTAATTTAATTCGAAAAAAAAAGGAGCTTAGAACAACAACCAAAAAGCATTTGCTGGAAAAAGTTTAACAACAATAAAGAGGTTCAGAGAGCTCCATACTTGCACGGAAGAACAAATTTGATGCTCCTTCACATTACTTTCATCATTTAATTCTGCCTGTAAGCGATGTAATTCGCGAGGTGGAGTAATGGCGCAGCTTTCGAAGAATCAAAACCCTCAATCTGTGACTTAGCATCGCGGAGTAGTTTGTCGGCAAACTCCCTGGACTTCTCCAGCCCCAAAAGCTTAGGGTAGGTTGTCTTGTTGCTAGCCAAATCCTTGGCCGCAGTTTTCCCCAGCTCCTGTGAGGATTTGGTCACATCGAGAATATCATCCACCACCTGGAAAAGTAATCCGATGCACTGAGCATAACGCCGCAACCGCTCGACCTCTGAATCCGATCCCCCGCCGACCAACGCGCCGATCACCACCGAAGCCTCGAGCAGCGCGGCGGTTTTATGCAGGTGGATGAACTCGAGGCGATCAATGTCGACGGGATCTTCCAGGCCGGTGGATTCCATGTCGAGTAACTGGCCGGCGACCAGACCTTCAGTGCCGATGCAGCGGGCGAGCTCCGCCGTGGCACGCACCAAGATTGCAGGGGCGATCGCGATGGATGAAGGGTAGTTACGGAGATCAACCAGATGTTCGAAAGCGAGTGCGAGAAGAGCGCTAGACCGGCGACGGAGTCGCCGAAAGCGCGGTGGCAGGAGGGCTTACCGCGCCGCAGGTCGTCGTCATCCATACAGGGGAGATCGTCGTGGATGAGAGACATGGTGTGAATCATCTCCACGGCGCAGGCAGGGGGGATCGATTGAGCCTCGTCGCCGCCGACGATCTCGCAAGCAGCGATGCAGAGGACGGGGCGGATGCGTTTTCCGCCGGCGAGGAGGGAGTATCGCATCGCTTCGTGGATACGCTTCGGGTGGATTAGGGGAATCGCGAGATCTAGGGCTCGATTTACGGATTCTGCCTTCTTTAGCAAAAAACCCTTGAAATCGAACTCAGTTGTGGCAACAGAAGGGTCGGCCTTGGTTTCAACAGCGTTAAGGGAAGGGAAGGAGAGCGAAAGGGAGCGGGATGGGGGACGGAGGACGGTCATGGTGGGGGTCGGGAAAGGAGAGCGGAGAGGATGGGAACCTGCGAGGTGAAATGTGGCGAAGGAAGCCATATGAAGAGGATGCAGCGCTCTGCTTTAGTTAGGGGTTCGGAAGCTGAAGTTTAGGAGCTCGTAGTTGCATGAACAGCTCTATCTTCTTCCATAGGAAGAGGGGCTGTTGTTGACGACGGTGGCCATCGGAGGAGGAGACAGCAGATAAAGTCGTTATGGGGGTTCTGGTCTGGTAGCTGCCATTTTATATTTATATTAAAAGCATTTACATATATACCACCAAATTTAAATGTATTTACACATTCGGCCCCTAAATTTTTTCAATCACACAAAAAAAATAGGGGCAATTACATAAAAGACCAGACTTGCTAGATAAGATAGTTCCGTTAGGTACATGTAAGTTACAAGGAGATTATATGAGGTATAACTTGCATGTAACCCCCTATACCCTCTGAATAACCTCTGGCATACGCAGCGCTACGTACGTCTTCCATATGCAAATATTTTCCCTTTGAAGGCTCACTCAAATTATATTAGGCAGTTCAAAAAAATTATCATTTTGTAAATATCAATAATTAGATTGATATGTATGATTAAAGTTTAAGATAAAATTCAAAATCATCTATTTTATTTTTTCAAATTCTGTATATTAGGCAGTTCAAAAAAATTATCATTATTTTGTAAATATCAATAATTAGATTGATATGTATGTAATTATACTTAAAAACTATCACATCTAAATTTTAATATAAATATTTAGATTGATATTTTTATTTTTTATTTTCGTTGGATGGTAGGTTGGAATTTATTTAGATTAAAAGACTAAAAGACTCAGCTGATGGAACTTTAAAATTGTTATCAACGATTTGAGGTTGGAATTTATTTAGATTAACTTCATATAAATTATAGTTCCGAATTTATTTTTTTGGTAGAATTAAAATAAACTTATTTAATTAATTCGAAGAATGTATTATTATACAAAATGATAATTAAATTTTATTTTTTATTTATTTTAAAATTATTTAACAATTATTAGATTCTCATTCGAAATAAAGAAATGTGATCAAAGTACCTTAGACGATAAATTGTTTGAAGAAATTTGACGTATTTAATATTGTTGTGTGACAAAATTCACGGCGAATGAGTAATGAATTATCTTCTAAAACATTGTACAATAATCAAACGCACACTTAAATAAAAAAAAACTAGTAGCGACAACAATAATTTTTTGTGTAAAATCTGGAAAGAAAAAAAAAATACAGGGTCTTTCTCGTCGAAATATTTCACTATATTTTTCAAGTTACAATGTCGGTGAGTGGAAGAACTCGTTTCCCTGCATTGGGGAGCAATTAATGTGGGGAGTGACTGTTGGAGCTTCAATGCAACGTCTTAAGGGTCGTCATGACATTTGGGATGATGAGCCAATTCGCAGATTGCTTCGTGATTCTGTAGCGTCAGTTGCTACTTCGCGAGCACTTCGTTGCAGGAGTGGGCAGTGACAAATGGTGTTCAGTGACGGCCTACGGATGATGATCGATGATAATTGACAGATGCAGAAGCAGAAGATGTTCGTCGAATAGTCTGTATAGTATATGGGCCTCAGCTGTCTCTTCTCTACACTCTGGCAGTCTACTTGATTAGGATCTAGTTCTTTTCTCAAGAGAGGGGTAGGTCTTTATTCTAGGTTGGAAATTAAGAATGAATTCAGACCACTTCATTAAACGGCCCTGAAGAGATTTTCTCGATTGGACATCATTTTGTTATTTGTGTCTTACTGATATCAGAATTGAGTGATCATGGGTCGTCGAGACATTCGATTCAACTATAAGTATGTCAAATTTAAAATTTGTTTGACCTTCCAATTGTGCATTAAATGCACCCTAAATCAGTTTAATGACTTAATATGGGTTTAGTGTGGCTTGGATTAGACCAATCCTGGTACCATTATGAATCTCTCGGCAAAACAGTTAGTTTGACTGTATGTTTGCTAAAATCAAAGTTTTAGTTGAGTTTTAATCAAAGTTTGAATGTTTTTTACTTAAAAAATTATCATTAAATTAATGTAACGTCTCGGTAGTAGTTGGTCACGTGGGTCATTGATAGTTGTTTCATGAGCGTCGATTAACCAAAGAGGCTGCGATAGAAAGTTGCAGAAGCTGTGAGTCATTTAAGCCGTAATTAGTCACATGTGTCGTAGTGATGAACTGTGATGAACTTCTTTGGCTGCAAAAGTCGGAGTCAGGTATTGCACGAGCTGTGAATCACACAATCTATAGGTGGTGAGTAAATAAGAAAGCTTAGGTGTGAGAATTGTAATACATAAGAGGTATGTGCTAGATATATACATGCCCCTTATATTCATGAAATATTAATTTTTTAAGGGACATTTTCATACATAACTTCTACTTCTCATGTATTTATATATCTAACATCTAGATTTATTTCATATGTTTATATCATTTAAATCTATTATATCACATAAAAAATATCATCATTTAAAATAAAAAAAAATTAAAAAAAAAAAAAAAGATGGAAGTATAATTTTTCATTTGGATGAGTAAGACGGTATTAACCCAAAAATTAAATTTTAGGTATTTGATATTTAAATATATAGAGATTGAGTGGCATTTATGTAAATTTTTTTTTTAATTATGGCTGCAAAAATCTTAATTAATACTGACACGTGATGTGATAGCAATTAAAAGTTATCTATCAGCAAATATAAAATATAAAGTGTGTCCCTCAGACATGGAACATTTAATAGAGTACAGAGTCTATCAGCAAATATAAACTATAAAGTGTGTCCCTCAGACATGGAACATTTAATAATTTTAAAATCTTATTTAGGTAGGTGCCATTTACAGTCATACCATCCATTTCCTACGTATTTACATATATAGCATCTAAAGTCTTACATTTATACCATCCATTTTTTTCATTATAAAAAAAAATATCATTATTAACTTAAAAAAAAGGAAAAGGACCTTTTCCTAGTACGAGAGGACCAGGGAGAACGCACCTCAAGAGGTGTATCAATTATCGCGCCTACGGTAAACGCTGGGTAGCCAAGTGCGGAGCGGATTGTGAGGCCTCGATTCTTGACTGTAAGGGACGCCAAAGACCTTTGCTCTTCCATCCGATAGAGAGGGAGTGCAGAGGCCTTTGGGTTTCTCATGTTGTCAAACAGTTGAATAATGAAAATAGATAGCGAGTGCCTCATCGAATTGATCAAGTCATGTAGGAACAATGTTCAAATATCGCGGTCTGTTAGGATGCCTCAACTACATACATCACTGCACTTCCACTTGACATACATGTATTTAAGATAAGTGGTATGTAAACATATAAGATGAGTGGTATGTATGTAAGTGTTTTATTTTTTTTCTAATAATTTTTATTGAAGATTTCCTCCTGGAAATAAAAAATAAAGCTCATAATTAAGAAAGGTAGAAATTGCTCATTCGCATGACGACTATTTATTATTATTATTATTATATATATATATTTTGACATATTCTTATATTTTATCATCATTCTCTTGTATTCACGGCCAGCTTTAAAAAACAATATCAAATTTAGCCTCTTTTTTTTTTTTGAAATTTTACGTACCACACAATTCTTATGTAATATTTAGATATATAACAACTAAAGTTGGTATTTATATTTATACTATTTTGGTGTTATAAAATTAAGCATAAAAATATTTTTTTTATTTTTACAAAATTATTAATTATATTGTGCGCCAGAAAATTTATGACAGTAGAGTGATAATTTAGTGTCTTAATATTACAAACACACTGAAACTAGACAAACAGAATGAAGAAACACAATAATTTTTTATGTAGAAAAATCATAAAAAAAGGAAAAAATCACCGGATATAACTTAGTCCAAAGTAATCTACTGTGTTTGTGAGTATATAAGTCCACTATTCGCATGCATTGAAAAATATAAAATTGCAATTTTGATATTACAAATGTACAATAGTAGTTCAACTATAATAACTGCAATTGTGTCATTGGTCACAGAGGCCGTTGTTGGAAGCTGTAGCAGTTGCTGGTCATATAGGTCGCAATTGGTGATTGTAATACTATTGGTTGGCCACAGAAGTTGTACTTAGAAGTTGTAGCAATAATAGTTGGTCGCATATGTTGTAATTGTAACTACAATATTGTTAGTTGATCGTATAGACCGTTGTTCAAGACTACAATAACGTTAGTTGGTCACATAAGTGATAGTTGGTGACTGAAATAATACTAATTAGTCATAGATGTTGTAGTTAGAATTTATTGCAATAGTTATCATATATGTTGTAATTGGTGGCTGCAATATCATAAGTTGGCCACATGTATCGTAGTTGGTGAATGCAATAGAGTCAATTGACCACATAGACTATAGTTATTAACTACAATAATGTTAGTTGGATATTGAATTTGTACTTAGAATTTATAGTAGGAGTTGGTCATATAGACAGTAATTGATGACTGCAATATCACATGGCCACATAGATCATAGTTGGTGATTGTAACACCATCAGTTGGTCACAAATGCTACAATTAGAATATGTAGTAGTAATTGGCCACAAAGACCTTATTTGGGATTGCAATAATAGTGTCAATTGATCACAAAAGTCATAATTAAAAATTGTAGTAGCAGTTGGTCATATAGGTCATAATTGGGAGCTACAATAATGTTAGTTGGTCGCAAATGTCATAGTTGAAACTTGTAGTGGTAGTGGGTCGCATAAGTTGTAGTTGGTGGTTGGAACCCTTTTCTCATAATGGAAGTGCAATTTTACGCTAGACATTACAATTGTGAGCATAGAGCGTAAATAAAGATACATATATTAGGTACAACTACCATATTTTGGCTATGATGGTCGTAAGCATTGCTTATTTGTGGCTGGTGGTCGATGATGGCAAGTGGTGATGGTCGACGGATATTGGAATAGTTGGGTCTTCAATATGGTGTTATACATTATAACTGTATTGGGGACATAATATTAGCAAGCAGGGGTTGCCAACGTCGACAAGCAAGGACAGCCTGTTTGGTCCTTGGTAATTGACGGGTGGTGGTTGACGACAATAGATAGGAGATGGTTGACGACCATAGAGTAGAAGTTATTATCGGGTTTTCAGTCTAGAATGGGTTTTGAAATTCCTTCTCTTCTCCTCGCTCCTCAAGTGAAGAGAAAAGTCTATTTAAAGCCTTTAGGTTAGGGGCATTTTAGTTTATTGGAGAATAACTTTTCCAACCACCTGATCGAGCGACCCACATAAATCTCCCTTGATCATAGGAGATTTTTAATAATTTGAGGGTCTTAATGACCTCAAAATTAAGTGAGTGTTAATTTATTAGATTCCTCTCGTTAATACGCTCAATTTAAATATAAGTATGTCAACTTTAAAATTCATTTTAAACATTCAATTGATTATTCAAAACTTTCAAAAGTGCTTTAATGGCTTCATCCGAGTTTGTTGCACTCAGATTGAAAAAACTTAGGTATTATCAGGTTCATCTTGTAGAGACGGTCAGCTTGATTATACACTTGCTAAAATTTGGGACCCTTTATGATCTTAAATTTGAATCTGAAATATTCATTACCTAAAAAATGCATTGAGATTCATACTAGACGATAAATTTATTGATGATCCATCAACAATAGTTTAGAAGATGTTTTGTTAAAAATTAATGTAGTAAGCATATATATATGAAATTTTAGTGGTTAGTTATGCAAAAATATAAGAATTGTGTGGTGGACATGTTAATGCTCCAAAATTTTTTAATCTTTGAAGATGATTTGATTGTAAAAACAATTTTAAAGGATATAACTCCAGCATTAGCATCCTGGCAATTCTTATTTTATTTTTTATAAATCTTTTTTTTGTATTAAAAAATATTAATATTAAGGAAATTCATTCAGATATCTATGATTTGGCAAATATAAATGAAGTAAATTTCAAAAAGTAACATAAGGATCCAATATTTTTTTACCCGTATTCATAATCACACTCGGGGATCAATCTTTACACCGAACATCTTTGAAGATCCATGATTTATCATTTATCATTTATCTTGATTGCACCGATGCGTACCTTTTTGTAAAAAAAGCAAAAAATAATGTAAATATTAACATTCCAACAATTTTTAACATGATAAAAAATCAATTTGGCATTGGAACTAAAAGGGGTAGATTTGACAATGTTGATTTTTATAGCAATGCTCCCCTCATACTACCATGAAAAAATAATAATATGCGAGTTCTTTCATGGGTACACACCGCAAAAGAAAAAAAAAAGAAAGAAAGAAAAATTGACCATTTTTTGCCACAAGAGCTCTTTTTTTCTTGAAAAGATGCTTAAAATCATATTGTAGGGAAGCTATTTCAATAGCTAATCAAACCATAAACAAAGTATCAACAAGGTTCCATGGGCGCAAGAGTACAACATAAATCCTACTCAAATTCTTCTACCCGAACCAGCTCAATGCTTGAGAGTGGGCAAAATCATCAAATATTTACTTTTTTTTTATGTATTGGACAAAAAAATTTATCAAGAAGGGGCAAAATCACTAAATGGCTTAAACTGTACGAATCTCAAATCCCATAACGGGCAATTGCTCGCCCTGGACATAATTTGGTTTTGCTCCTAATCAAAAACAAACTTGTTCGCAAGACATTTGACGATGTTACCTTTATTCATACAATGCCCCAAAGCAAACGAATGAAAAATTAATCCAAAAGTAATTAAATGTCTTTATTGGCCACTCTTCCACTCAAAAAGTGCAGAAGCACTGCCATCTCTTCATAAGAAAAGTGGCAGGTTGATATCACATTCAATGTAGTCAAATTAGACTTTGTTACTAAAACTCAACAAATATATATATATATATATATATATCATTCACAAATAAGCCCTTCCTTATGTCTTATCTCAACAAACAATTTTACTTCAAAACAATCCACTCTTACATGAAGCAAAACTTGTACCAAAGCCACCCTCTCCTAAGCCATGATAAATTTATTCATAGAATGGCATTTCTATCCATGCAAGTAAAATCAATCAAATCAATCTCTATCATTAAATACATCAAGGGATTTATTGAGCCTATAAACAATTGTATAACAACCGCTAGCGAACATAAGAATTGGAATAATTGTATGATGGAAGCAATGGAAATTCTACAAAAACAGAATATGAAAATTGGTGCCACTATTAAAAGGAAAGCAATTAGTATGAAAGCAATTAGTATGATATAGATGCATTTTTTGCAATAAAATATAGATCGAATGGCGCACTAAAACAGTATGAAATCAAAATAATGGCCAAATGCTAAGTTTATATATATGAGATAAATTATCTTGAAATTTTCACTGTATATGCTAAAAAAATGAATGCTACTTGAATTCTTGTATCATTTATAATAAATAAGGATTGATAAATACAATGATTTAATATGAACAATACCTTACATGGTGATCTAAAAGAGAAAGTGTGCCCCATCAAGATCTAGCACAAATTTATATCAAAGAAGTACATGAGTTGAAATAAGTATTGCTCAGAATGGAGCAATTTCTAAAAGCATGGTTCGAAAGATTCAAAAAATTAACGCTCAAAATGAGATAATAAAGTCAAAAGAAATCTTATATTCTTTGTGAAACATAGTTTCCGAAAGTCTCGCCACTACTAATTTATCTCGACGACATCATCATGACATTAAAATCTCATGTTCTTAATGTAAATCTTCACATTACAACAAAATTACATAGCACGCCCGTCGAAAGAAACATACAAGTTGGGAAGCAAGTTTGCTAAAAATTGCATGGAATTTAATTATAAAGTTAAGAATGCTCCAAAAAATATTATAGTACAAAAATTCTCCTTTCATAAACTTAAGAGAAAACTAAACTTGATATTATCTATATTATTGGCAAGTCAATTCAGACATAATTCTAAGAAATCACATCTTGAAGCAACGTATACCTTTTTAATATCTTAAGGGGACATCTTAAAGCAATGTATAATTTTTTAATATCTCAAGGGGACCCCCAATAAAAGAATTTTATTTAAAAAGAAAGAGACGATCTGACCATTGATGCAGATTATGCAGATTCTATATTTGACAAAAAGTCAACTTCAATGCAATATCCAACATGAACGCAATATTTTGATCCATGACAATAAAATATGCAAATTAAAGTGGCTAAAAATCTTCTCCAAATACTTAAATTCTAAATAAAAATGCCCTATAAGGCTCATTATGATAAGAAGTACACTAGGGAAATCACATATACATCACAAATATTGAAATAAAAACAAAACAAGCTCTCCGCCTCTTGCCACTATCATTGAAGAACAGCGCTTGTGCTATTTCTTAACTAATATACCATAATAATTAGTTAATATATAAAGAATTACACACTGAAACTGTGAAAACAAAAATTAATATTACACATGGAATTGCCAGCAAAAAAAATTAATACTTCAGCAATAGAGATCGGCTTATTAGGGGATTGTATTGAACTTACAGAATCAACTAACTGTCAGCGCATAAAACCATTCTAAGCTTTCATTTCAATAAAATTTCTTGAGTCTTGAAAGCGGAGAGGTTCATTTCCCCAAGAAGTCCAATCAGCTAACAGCTCCCTCGCAAATAGTTCTATGCATCTTGAAGGCTTGGGACCTGGAACATGGTCTGATAGCAATTCTGGTTCAAGTTAAGAACAAGCAGCTAAAAATATATAACTGAAATGTTATCCTCAATTCCAATATTATAATATAAACCAATATTAATGAGATGTATAATCAAATTCATCTATGTTAACCACATTTGTGAATTGTCAAGTGTATTGCGGAAGTTTTTTTTTTTTTCTTTAGTTTTAATAAACTTTTTATTAGGGTGTTTTTATATATTTTATCTTTTGTTTTCAAAAACAAATTACCATGTTTTTGAAAACACAATATTTTAGATATTTTGAGTCTTTTAAAAGACAAAGTTGTATTATTTTAACGTTTCAAATCAAAACATTATGGGACGGGGGGCATTTGGGATTAATTTTATCTTTTATTTTTTATACTTTGTTTTCTCTATATTTTGATTTGAGTTAAAACTTGTTTGATTGAGCTAGCTGTTTTAAAAACACTCAAACAATTTTTAAAAGTTTGACAACAACAACAACAACAACAAACCCTTATCCGACTAAGTCGGAAAAGCTACATGAATCCTTTTCCTATTGAGTGTCATATTTTTATTTAATTCTAAAAAAATTAAGATCATTTTTTATGCAACATGCCTGGGTCTTTCTAGGTCTACCTCCACCTTTATTAGCATATAGAATCTAAAGCATCTACTTTCCTAACCAGATCATCAGATGGTCGATGTTTAATGTGATCAAAAAATTTAAGATGATTCTTTCTAATATTGTCTACTACTGGAGCTACACTTATCACGACATGGCCCGAGGCATGGAGTTTATCAAGATAGAAACAGACGATGGAAATCAATTCACTACTATTCTTATTGCAATTCTAACAATAACAATTTAATATTCAAATAATACATGAAAGAGCCACTGAAGAAAAAAATTAAAATTAACAAGTAAAAATTTATATATTTTCGTTCGTTGCTCTTGTCTTCTACACACATTTGATCTTACAGTAGGTTATATGGAGGTTACAGGGGGTATAACGCGGTTATAACCCCCCAGTACCCTCCCTGTAACCTATTTGTAGGTTACAGACGTACGCAGCTCTGCGTACGTCTTACATACGCAAATTTTTTCCCTTCAACTGGGGAAATATTTCCATACGGGATATGCATGCAGTTCTGCCTGCGTAATAACCCCTCCATAAAGTCCGTTTTGCGGTTATTGGGGATTATTAGGAGGTTATTGGGGTATTAATTTCAATAACATATAACGTCAATAACCTTCCAATAACTTTTGCGGGTCCTATTATGGGGGTATTGCGGGGTTAATGGAGTACGCACGCAGAACTGCGTGCGTATTCCGTATGGAAATATTTTCCCTTCAATTGAGACCCCCAAGGTTAAAATCATGTAAGGCGATGACTACAGTAAAAGTGTGGGATTAAGGTTAAGGGCTTAATTAAATAAATTAAACTTATTACTTCTGATTTGTATATCTTCCTATACATTAAAAATTTATATATAATATTATCAATCAAATTGCTCGATTTTTCATATAAAATTTTATAAAATTATTTTGATTGAAATCCGATGCATCTGAACTTTGGAGTATATCTTAAAAAATTAGTTATTACAACACCAACCCTTCAAGGATATATTTGTTTCACATTTTGTCTCAAAGTGTAAAGCCCCCCATCCACCTAAGCATTCTCATCTCAGCAACACTTAACTTTATTTTATGTTTTCTCTTTTATAAGCCAACATTTTGCACCATAAAGCATTTCAAGTCTCACCACCATCTTATAAAATTATCCTTTAAGCCTACGACTTACTTTTCTATCACATAATAGGCTCGATGCATTCCTCCAATTCAACCATCCATTCAACCATCCAACTTGAACCAACTTGAATTCTACTAATAACATCCCCATCTATATCACCATCACTTTGAACAATAGAACCTAGAAATATAAAATGTTCATTCCTTTTAATATTTGGTCACCTATTGTTACAACCCTACCAATAGATATACTGCTATTAAAATTACATGCCATTTATTCAGTTCAGATCTGCTCAAACAATGGCCTTTAGACTGTAAAGTATACCTCCATAATTCAACTTTTTCCTGACTTCTTTCTCTATCTTATCCACAAGAATGATATGATCAACGAAAAACATATACCAAGTACCTCCTATAAATGTCTAGTAAGAGCATCCATAACAAAAGTAAAATGATATGGGCTTAAAACCGATCCCCGATGTAATCCAACTGAAATAGGAAAGTAATTGGTTAGTCCTCCTTCTGTTCAAACACAAGTAACAGCTCTAGTATACATATCTTAAGTGACTTGAAAATAAGTTAGATCAACATATTTCTTTTCTAGAACTCTCCAAAGAACTTCTCTTGGAATAGAAAAGTAATTAGCTTAAAGCCAATCCCCGATGCAATCCAACTAAAATAGGAAAGCCCGACGTAATCCAACTAAAATAGGAAAATAATTGATCAGTCCTCATTTTGTTTGAACACAAGTAACGACTCTAGCATACATATCTCAAGTGACTTGAAAATAAATCAGATCAACATATTTCTTTTCTAGAACACTCCAAAGAACTTAGCTTGGAACCTTATCCTAAGTTTTTTCTATATCAATAAAAATCATATATAGATCTTCCTTACTCTATACTTCCAATCAAACCTCTCAATAAATGTATAGCTTCCATAGTAGACTTGCCTGACATAAATCCAAATAGATTATGAGAAATATTTTAGATTATGAGAAATATTAGAAATATTTTAAATGTTAGAGTGTTTTTAAAAATAAGTTAGATTTATTTTTTAAAACAAAAAATAAGAACATATAAAAACTATACAAACAAAACATATTGTAAAAAAATTAAAGAAAAAATAAGAAACAAAAGTAATGTCAAAGGGACCCTATTAAAATGTAATAAAAATAAAAAATAAAAGCGATCCGCAGAAGATAAAAAGCATATTGGGACTAAAAATAAGTTTCTGAATCTCACAATTAAGGATATTATTAGAAGTTGAAACAAATATATTAATGATTGGACGCCTACAACTCAAAAGCTTATGCTAATATATTACAATCATAAATCTTATTTCGTTGCAACTATTCTTCACTCTTATGTTCATAAAAATAAAAGTTAATAAAACAAACATTAACTATAATGAAATGGCAGATGTGATTGTTGCATTAGGATACTTCCCAGTGGAGGTTTCCGCGAGTAAGCACCAGGGATACTGATGAGGATTTGGTTCTCTCGCAAATTTTGGCTGGAATCAGGTTCAATTTTCTACAACATCTCACACAAACAAAATGGGCAAATGGAAAGAAGGATCTAAGCCTTGGCATGAAAAACTGAAGAAAATACTGAAACTCTGACCTTTTTATTGACATAGCCAAGAAGAAGGTATTCATAAGGTTTGTGATGAATCAAGCCCAAGTCACCAAGCAGAGAACCATCAGGTTTTATCTATATGATAATGGGAACAAATTGTAACCATCAAAGAAGGCTCCAAATAGCCTATCAAAAAGCTAAACAGCATATTGATTAACTAATAAGCATGAAATGAAATGAAATCGGGATTTCTATGGCCATAAAGAAATATAAATTTTCATTAATTCAATAATTCTCAAAAAGAAGAAGGGAAAATGGAATTTACCTTCAACCAGTAAGAAGTTCTGATATCGGTCACTCCCCAAGCTGGAAATAATTCTTTTTCAACGAATAAACGAAGCTTCCCTCTATTCGTCATCCATAATACAATGAGAGCCCCCTCTGTATGAACAAGTTGTTTGATAGGGAGGTACAATAAGTATCGATTTGGTAATGTCGGGTACCTACGATGAATATAGCAGCAAAATAAATTTGGGAAATTTACATACATGCCACACAATACTTATGCATTTACATAATCTAACACCTAAAGTTTGAAATTTACATTCATAACACTGGTGTACTTCACTTCTAATATGTTAGTAACAGTGGTATTTTTCATGTTATGTTTAAATATTTGGCAAATATGCATGTAAATATCAAAAGTTATGTGTTAGGTATGCAAATATATAAGAATTGTGTGGTATGTAAGTAAATGCCCCAGTAAGTTTTGGGCACCAGCAATTAACAAGATTAAATTTATAGATGAAGATCAGTCTTTCATCAAATTTATTGGAAATGTCAGCTGCTCCAAATTAAAAGGGTGGCAGTGTATGTAGGAATAATTTCAGAAAGAAATTATAAGTAATTACATGCTAGAGATGGAGGGTGTGAAGTTATGATTGATAGTGCAGCTAGCTATAATTGACAGACAACAAAATCAGACAAAAGAGACGCAGATTCTTGGCAATAGGCGGAGATGAAAATCTGAAGCACATAAATTCAAGGAGCTTTAGAAAAAAAAATTTAATCCTAATTATTACTCATTTTACAGAAATATAGACACTATATGCATAAATGCCCTTTAAATGTATGATAATGCAAATAATATTTTGTCATTCTCCTATTTTCTACATGATATCCATAGAAAAGGACTGGCAATATCTAATTAAAGGCAGTAATAGTTATAACAATCATTCAACTTTTCCCTTTATATCTATTTCTAATAAAGATACTATTTGGGATCATTATTATAGATTAGGGAATCGACCTTCTTAAATTCTCAAATCTATGTTTTCCCTCCTTTTTTAAATTTTTTACAATGAAAATTTTTTGTTGAACATATTGTGAGATTGCTAAACAACTTTAGGCATTATTCCTTAGAGTGAATGTTGATCACATGTTCCTTTCATGTTAATCCCTCCTCATGTTTAGGAAATCTCAAAAATCACTAATATTGTTAGAATCACTAATAATGATATGGGTTTATATTACCAAAAAAAAGACAAATGTCACTTATGCTCTCACAACCTTAGTCACTATAATGAAAAAATCAGTTCACCATTAAAGAAATACAGGATCAATATGCCCAAAATTATTTTAACCGAATTGTCCATTTTCTTCAACCAAAAAAAAAAAAAAACAAAAATCCTCATATCTCAACACTCTACAAAAAAAATGAGCTTAATGAAAATAAAATTATGCACTTTCTTTTAATTACTAGAATTATTTACTTCCAAAATTAGGTGCATAATGAATATTGAAGAGAACTACACTAATCTTGACATCTTTTATTAGTAAGACATCTTAAGTGATGGAACTCAAAATTCCCTAAACCAACCCACTAAAATTTTTCTTAAGCGTAATCTACTCACAAAAATTTCTCCTAAAATAATTAGTTATCATATGTACACACTTATTAATAACTATGGGGTTAAATTGAACCCTAGAACACTTATTTGTGTGTTTTTAAGATATTCACATGCTCAAAATGGCTATAAATGCTATCATCTAGCTATATAAAAATTAAAACAAAAGTTAAAGAAACCTTATATCAAAAGATGTCACTAAGTGGGGTTGGCTACATGAATCTTTTTCTCTATTGTATCCTATTGAGTGTCATATTTTCATTTAATTCAAATAGATTAAGATCATTTTTTATACAATATGCCCAAGTATTTTTAGGTCTACCTCTGTCTTTCTTAGCAAAATTCAAATCTAAAACATGTACTCTCCTAATGGGAATATCAAATGGTCGATGTTTAATGTGACCAAACCATCTAAGATGACTTTCTAATCTTATTTGCCACTGGAGCTACACTAAGCCTTTCACGGATACATTCGTTATGCATTTTATCTCTAACTGTCAAGTACTCATCCACCTAAGCATTCTCATCTCAACAACACTTGACTTAGTTTTATGCTTCTCCATCAAAGGTCAACATTATGTGTCATAAGCCATTGCAGGTTTCACCACCGTCTTATAAAATTTTCCTGTAAGTCTAAGTGGTATTTTTCTATCACACAATAGGCCGAATGCATTTCTCCACTTCAACCAATCCAAATAAAATATACTAACAACATCCCAATCTATATCACCATCACTTTGAACAATAGTCTCTAGATATTTAAAACGTTCACAACTTTTAATGATTTGATCACTCATAGTTACAACTCTGCCACCAGATCTACTACTACTAAAATTACATCCGATGTATTCAGTTCTAGATCTACTCGAACAAAGGCCTTTAGACTCTAATGTAGACTTTTATAATTCAAAATTTTTTTGAACTCTTTCTTTAGTCTTATCCACAAGAAGAATATCATCAGTGAAAAGCACACTAACGTACATCCTCATATGAATGTCAATAAGAGCATCCATAACTAAAGCAAAAATATTAGCGTTTAAAGCCGATCCCTGATGTAATCTAACTGAAATAGTAAAATACTTGATCAATCCTCCTCTATTCGAACACAGCTAACAACTCTAGTATAAATATCTTTAATGACTTGAAATTACGTCATATGAACATCGTTCTTTTCTAGAACCCTTCAAAGAACATTTAATATAAAATAAATCATATTTAATTAAACTTATCTTTAAAGACATTTTTCTTTTAACTATTCAACTACTAAGACACGAGTTATGCACCGACCACAAGTCCATTTTATGGAGGGCAGAGCAAGATGATAACTTCCCATCCTCCACACCTCCCTGTCGTTGTGCCAACACTGTAACTGCTGCAACATCACCTCTCCACACCCCCCCAACCAAAAAAAGCCCCTACATGCAGCCCCACGTCTCCCTCCTCGCCGCCATCAATGTTCCAGTCTCCCTCTTCGATGTCTACAATTTCAACACTCCCGTTTGCTGCCATCACTATTCCGACCATCAAAAATCCTTTGCTCTTCCCACTAGATGCTGGTCCTAGTACATCACCTCCCTGCCACATGTCCGTTGTTCCAGCCTTCGGGAACCTGAATTCCACCTTGCTGGCGCCCAAGACAGCAAGGATCTGTTCTTTCATTGTCATATCCCCCCACTTGTTCCACGCTCCCACCTTACAGCCATCACTCTAGACCCCCAACAACTACCACCATCACCTATGATCCACCATAGTTTGAATTGGTGTTATCATTTGTCTCAGTTTCAGATTTCCATGGGTATTGTCGTTGTAATTTCCCCTTTCAGTTGTGTGATTGTAACTTCCCTATTTGAATTTCAGCAACAATATTTTGTTATGTATTGTTGTTTAGGTTAACTCTAGTATCATTAACTTTCTTACCTAATTAATCAATGAACTAGTCATTTTAACACTTTAAAATTAAGCACTAATAGAATATGTTATAATAATTGTACGCAAATCATAATAATATTCATTTTGGTCATTCAATTAACTTGTATCAACGCCAAAAAATGTTTACCAAGCAGTCATAAGTATTTCAATAATTTAGACAAAAGTCTTATAACATGATTTTACCAAACGATAATCAACTTTATCATCAACAAGACACCACAACAGTAGATAGGTGTCGGCACTATTTTTGGTGTGGAGTTTGCCTCACAACAGTAGATAGGAATACAAAATAGAAAAGAAAAATGCCAAGAAGAGCCTAAGGCTAAAACTCAGACTGACTAAAAGATTAAAATGATCCTTAGACTTAATAGATGTGTTCATTTTAATCCTAAACTGTTATGAATAGGAAAGTTAACAATTAGAACTGTGAGGGGTTAATAATAGATTAAAGGATTAAAATATAAAACATTTGAGGGTTAAGAAGATAATAATGGAATGTTTACTATTATGAAATGTGGTCGTCAAAGTTGTTATAAATGTAGTTCCAATAATCAATGGCAGCAGAACACCTCAGCTAAGAACCACTTGCAACAATGTTGACCTCATTTTTTAGGTCATTACTCTTTCTTAGGATCCTAGGATCTAGCTCTAGGAGTTTCTATTGACTATCTTAGAGAACTAGAATTGAGACCCACCATTTTTAGAAATTCCAGCCACTTCATATTTTCCCGTGATGTCTAGCATTTATGATCTCAAAATCATCGTCTTATGGACGAGCGGTTAAGGGTTATTGTGTGGAGACTCAGGGAGGAGTTCCCAATAGGATCTCAAGCCCTAGGAAAACCTCCTCAAGACTTTATCGTCACACACACACACACAATGCACAAAATTCGCTAAGTTGCACAGGATCGGACTTCAATTGAGCCTAAAAGATGGGTGAAAATGCAAACTTCTCCAAACGACCTCCAACGGGGAAACGGACCGCGCCAACGCGTCCGGAATGTCAAAATTACTCAAAAATGATACCAATTTTGTTATGTTTAGACGCACGAATAAAACACAAATTCAATTTTTATTTTTTAAAATATTAAATACTTTTTTATAAATTTTACCCCCAAATAATAATCACATTAAACCCTAAACCTTATTTACGGAACCACCCGCACCCCTTCTCCATGTTCGACCCATTCATGAGTTCGAACAGGGCTTGCGCTCGTCCCGCTCCCTCTCGCCCGTGCCCTAGGTTCCACGGTGGATCCATGCGGCTCCCGTCTTCTTCCCTGTCTCTTCCCCTTCTTTACGTAGCACGACAGTCGTTCGACTCTCCAATTAGAGGAGGTGAGCTGACAGACTTTCCTTCTACTCGAGGCTATGCGCTCTTCCCCTTTATTGTGACGCTTCTTTTCTCTCTTCATGATTGGTTGGCCAGTGTGGTTGGTAGGTGGAGGTCTATTTTCTCTTCTCTGTCTATGAAAAGGCGTTTGGGATTATTGTGTGAGGTTGTTGAAAAACTTTTGGGAGAGAAAGGAGAGGTTGTGTTTCTGTTGTGGGAAGCTTTTAGGGAAGAAAACTATCCTAAAATCTTCTCTAGATCTGTTTTCTCGTGCGCTTGGAGTGTGAAGTGTTCGTGGAGTGCTGTTTATTTTGATGAAAGTCCTCTCTAAGCT